TTTTTAACAAACAAACAAGGACAATAATGGTTAATGGTAGCAAATTTTCATAACAGTTTTCTCAGCAACTACTTATCACAGCCTCTTGATATTTGGCATACAACGTTGACACATGGTCCCATGTGGTAGGATTTGATTTCAGGTCTGTCGCTCATCCACTACCTGTTTATTGACTTTAATGGTCAGTGGTAAATTTTTTTCATAACATCACAGCATCAAGATATTTGGTATACAAATGCAACCCGGCCTTTTCTGTCTTTGACCAATTTATTTTTTTCATAGTTTTGTCACCCATTACTGCTTCCATTATTTAATTAGTTGAGCTTCACTTTCTCGTGTGAAGCTCTTGTTTACAAAATACTTTATTTTTATGCTCCCCTTTGAAAAAGGGAGCGCATATTGCTCTGTTTCTGTTTGTTGATCCACCAACAGTTTCAATTCGTTTTCATCACAGAGGTTGTACCTACTGAAATTTAGTATACGGATTTATTCGAAGAATATTTAGGTAAAGTTTTGTTTTGGGTACGATGGAACTACTTTTGACAGGGTAATGCCCCTTGTACTTAGAAAAATTCTTATTTTTGCAGTTTCTGTTCAGTTTTTTGCAAAGGTTGCTCATACTGAAATGAAATTTAATATACATATTTTTCATAAGAATATAAATTTTTTTTGTGGGTATGATGGAGCAATTTTTAATAGTGTAATGCCACTTGGATTTAGAAAAAATCCAGTTATTAAGACTTGTATCGAGGGCTGGTGTTTAGATCATGTATATAATTTGAGCCGTGTCACGACAAAACCAACATAGTGCGTTTGCGGCCAGCATGGATCCAGACCAGCCTGCGCATCTGCGCAGTCTGATCAGGATCCATGCAGTTAGCTTACCAACCCTATTTCAAGTAGAGAAACTATCAAAGCTAACAGCATGGATCCTGATCAGACTGCGCGGAAGCGCAGGCTGGTTTGGATCCATGCTGGTCGCAAACGCACTATGTTGGTTTTGTCATGGCGCGGCTCATATAATTTTGTTCATCATTAGATTTGCTAAATACAAGCCATGCTTGGTATGCACATCCAGCAAATTTACTAGGACCACTATTATGTCTCTCCTCAAATGCAGAGGTCATGTGATTAAACTAAATTAAGAATACAGTTAAAAAACAGGTTGGTTGAATATGGTTATTGATAATCATTTATAATTTAGAAGTACAGTCAATGTTTCTAATGGTCTATAAGTCAACCAAGGTTTGTGCAACCTATAGTTCAAAAACTTTTTAGCTTAGACATCATACTTGATGGGTTGATGCATCACAGATAGTACTGGAAAATGACCCGTATTGATTTTAAGTTCAAAATGTAAATTTGATTTCCATGTACACTGCCTATAATGTATACTGGGAGTGGGGGGGGGGGGGGGTTCATAAGTGTTTCACAAACATCTCCCTTTCAATATTCATAATGTTATTAATGAAATGTTCCGATTTATTTCAATGTATGGTTTACTTATTTCAAACAGCAGTGTATAGTATAAGCAACAGCAAAAGTCTTTTATTTTTTATCATCCCTCATATTGTTTTGACTTTCCGATATTTTTGTCCGGAGCATATCTCAAAAAGTCTTTGAAGTATCAACTTGAAACTTCATAGGTGGATAGATCTCATTGAGGAGGAGTGCAGTGCACAAGAATGATAACTCTACCCTGCATAATTTTTCAGTTATTTCCCTTTGTTATTTTTCAAACTTAATTTTTTTTCAGAGCATAACTCAAAAAGCATTTTAGATATCAACTTCATAGGTGGATAGATCTCACTCAGGAGGTGTGCAGTGCACAATAATGATAACTCTATCCTTCATATTTTTTGAGTTATTGCCCTTTGTTATTTTTCATACTTAATTTTTCACCTGAGTGGAGCATAACTCAAAAAGTCTTTGAGAAGTCAAGGTGGATAGATCTTATTGAGGAGGAATGCTGTGTGCAAGAATTATAACTCTTCCTTTTTTAATTTTTGAGTTATTGCCCTTTGTTATTTTTCATAATTTTTGTCCGGAGCTTATCTAAAAAACTGTTAGAGATATCATCTTGAAACTTCATAAAGGGATAGATCTCATTGAGGAGGAGTGCAGCACACAAGAATGATAACTCTACCCTGCATAATTTTGCAGTTATTGCCCCTTGTTATTTTTCTAACTTAATTTTTGTTTGGAGCGTAACTCAAAAAGCCTTCGAGATATCAACATGAAACTTCATAGGTGGATATATCTCACTCAGGAGGTGTGCAGTGGACAAGAGTGATAACTCTACCCATCATAATTTTTGAGTTATTGCCCTTTGTTATTCTTTATGTTTTTTGTCCGGAGCTTATCCCAAAAGGTGTTTAGAGGTATCAACTCGAAACTTTATAGGTGGATAAATCTCATTGAGAAGGTGTGCAGCACACAAGAATAATAAACTACCCTGCATTATTTTTCAGTTATTGTCCTTGTTATTTTCAGCCATCAGTATTCACATAGGTTTCAAATCTGTAATCACTACAGCCATCAGTTTTCATTACCAAAAGACCTCTTAAAATTGAATTATTCTGCTCTACTTAGTGATGTTCCGATTGTCGCAAGTCGCCGATAATCAGTTCCTAATATGTAAAGCGACAATAATCGATTCACAAAAATTTGTTCCGCGACGTCGTCGAAAATGTTTAAAGTATCAAAAGGAATTAATTCTGACAGTAATTTTCTTAAATTAGGAACACCTTGCCGATCGCAAAAAATCATCTCAGAGACAATTTGGATTTGAACAGGATCAATAAGTGATGTAAACAATAGTAATATAATGTGATGTAAATGTTATTATTTGACATCCATTGCAAAATAAATCTATTTCGTAAAATTATGGCTATGTAAAGTTAAAACTGTGTTGAAAAGTGCTAAATGAAGTTCATGTTACTGAATATAATAAAGTGCATCGGGAGTAATTGTTACTTCCCTATTTCTTTTTAATGAGACTTTATTCGAAAAGTTATCGATTATGTCCCATCCGACTGAACCGATGATCGATTGGGACAAATTTCAACGATTTCCATCACTAGCTCTACTTACGTAACATATACATTCTTCCAATGAGCAAACGCATTTGGCGGGGATTGGCCATGTAAACATGGCTCTTGTAAGATTTTTTTTTATACTTATTAAAATAACTTCAGAGCAAATTTTCTAGTCATTTGCTTGATCACTCTTTTTTCCCAAAATTCTCATTGCAAGCTAATGTGCAAAATTATCTTAAAATGAAAAAATATTAAAGGGATCGAGACTGGTTAAGAGCCTTAAATATGGAGACCAAGCAAGAGTTGATCAAACTACATTGTCAAAGAATGGTCTATGTTTTAACACTTACAGAATATGATGAAACTTAAGTAAGCAAATACATTTTTACAAAATGATAACCAAAAAGTTGACTTGATGGCTTTGTCTTACTGTTATTTAGTTAAAGGGACTCCACTGAGGTTTTTGACATGGCAGGACTTGAAGTAATGTTTTTGGGATTAATGTTCCATTTGATGTAGGTCTAGACCAAAAGCTTGTGTGCAAATTTTCAGATCATTCTCTCACTTTGCTTTTCCATAATGATTATTGTTATTGTGAAAAATGACCTAAAATTGAAAAGGGTTGCAATGCTTTTCACTTAAAATGGGCCAAGAGTAGCAAAAAATATGATCTACAGTTTATTTCTGTGAATAATTCTTAATTTTCTTTTGTATATCTTTCTGTGTGAAGTGCCCCAGTTGGTCTATTTAAGAAATTCAAATTTATGCTTTTAGTCTTTTGGGTATCAGTAGAGTTCCTTTAATGAATTTGGCAAGTTTGAGAAGTACCGAAAATTTACACAATTAATAACATAAAAATTATGAAGGTTAAAAACATTTTAAGTAAAATATATAAAGAAAAGAAGAGTACATGTAATAATAAAATTATTTACCCAAAATGTATGATTATTACCCTAGCTGTTTTAGTACAAAAAGTTACTTTCAAATAGATTTCCTTTCACCAAGTAAAATGTATCGAAGTACAACCTTCAGGTAACTTCTTTATGGAGAGGGGAATTTAAACCATGTACAGTAACAATGGATCATGTTATATTGAAAGCTATTGCATTGAAATTTGAAATGCATTCAGTTTCAGATGCAGATTTGAACTTTGACAGTAAAACAATGACTTACATATTTGAAGAAATAGCTACATCTATAAGATTTGGACTGTATCAAATGTTGTTTCAGATGAGGATTTGCACTTTGATGGCCAAATTTAATGAAACTTGCCAGGCATGTTCCTTGCATAAAGCTCTACCAAAGTTGTGAAAAGAATTAAATTCCTTGAAGAACTCTGGTTGGGCAACCAAAAGTGTTTTTTTTTTTTGACAAAATCTAAAAAATCTCCCTTGTCAAAAACCCGAAGGTGTAGAGCCTTGATATTTGGTTTGTAACATCATCTAGTGGTCCTCTACAAAGATTGTTCAAATAATGACCCTAGGGTCAAAAGGGGCCCTGCCAGGGGGCTCCTCAGTTTTATATAAAGTTATATAGGGAATTCTTAAAAAAAAAATCATATTGTCAAAACTTACAAATCAAATGGGGCCCACCAGGGAACTTATTGATTTTTAGCTCAATTGTCGTCATGCCTCAGGTTAGCGACCCAGAACCCAGGGCCCTCTTGTTTTACTCAATGACATACTGTTTAGCTTACCTAAGCATTATAATTTTCTTGTACAGCTAATGTTTATCAGGTGAGTAATATAGGGCCTTTTTGGCTCTCTAGTTATTGCTGTTGTTTTTAATGGAAAGCAAGTGCTGGCATTTGAGTGGAGCCAGTGCCAACATTCTGTAAGCTAGCTGGATAGTTTCCTCAATTTCTGTCTTAATATAATTTACAATGTTAATTATTCATACCTATAAAGCAATATTAAACATACATCTGCCAGTGACTTATGTTTTTTATTTTTCTATTTACAGATTCCGAGGTTAAAGAGGAGTTTCGAGGACCACTATCTAGTGGTGAGGAGGTTACAGTAGAGGTAGACAGGGAGGTTATCACAGCTGCACCTGTGATTGCAGATAGCCCAGTGGTTATCGCAATTTGTCCTGTAGGTGAGTTGTTCCCTGCGGCTGTCCATCCTGATCAGGTAGAGGATCCTTCTGAGGTAGGGCCATTGATTACTGAGGTTGAGGCTCCGCACCTGCCCAACCTGGGAGATGAGGTAACACCCGGTGTTCTGTCGGGAACAGGTAGACCCCGAAGGACCCGTAGACCCAGTCCCATTCCTGCGGGATCAAGTAGACCCCAAAGGACCCTTAGACCCCGTCCCATTCCTTCGGGATCAAGTAGATCCCAAAGGACCCTTAGACCCCGTCCCATTCCTTCGGGATCAAGTAGATCCCAAAGGACCCTTAGACCCCGTCCCATTCCTGCGGGATCAAGTAGATCCCAAAGGACCCTTAGACCCCGTCCCATTCCTGCGGGATCAAGTAGACCCCAAAGGACCCTTAGACCCCGTCCCATTCCTTCGGGATCAAGTAGACCCCAAAGGAACCTTAGACCCCTTCCCATTCCTGCGGGATCAAGTAGACCCCGAAGGACCCATAAACCCATTAGCGTCATGCAGGTCAATCCTAGTCTCAACACTTATTTGTTCACTAGTCCGAAGTTCTAGACCGTGGCAGTTTTATATTATATTAGTTACTTTTGTTTATGCATGTATATTATTATTTTGAATATTGTAATTGTTTTTTGTAAAGCAAATTTTTTCTGCTCATAAATCAAAAATTCAAATGAAGTTTGCTATAAAAAATAATGTAAAATTATTAGTCTGGGCTGGAAAGGAACATGGTAAAGGCAAAAGCATCAGTGCAGTATCTTTGATTGAGAGTGAAATAGTACTGTCTGACTCATCATGGGTTTCTGCTCATTTATGGGTAAATGCTTGTTATAACTTGATGGAAAGATGGTTAGAGAGTTAGTAGTCTGGTTATGATAAGTGTTTGTGCATGTTTGAATGGTAACCTGTGTTGACCAGTCATTTCTGTTTTAACTCAATCAGGATCAATGTACTGTTGTTGATGTCTTAACCATGTGCTTGTCTGTACTGTGTGGCCTTTTTCTGTCTTTAAAACAATTTAAACTTTTTTTGGTAAATGATTTTTTCTTTTCAAAATTGACATTAATTGAAGCTAAATTTTAGAAATTGTAAAACTTAATAATTTAAGTAAGTCATAAATCTTTTAGTAATTTTAGTAAGTCGAAATTCTCTATTTTTCTTTTTTTTGCATACCAGATGAGTTTTTCATTAATTATTTTTATAATTTTCAAGTTAAGTTTCATTGCCTAAGTTAAGTTGTATACATTTTGTTTCTTATGTTATTTACTTAATTTTGTCTTTGACCTACTTTTTCATTCAATGAGAAATAGGAAAATGAAAATGCAGTTTTTTTGTTAACAGCCTTTAACAGTGTTTGTGTAACTGATTTTTTGCATTTTAACTTGTGTATTTAAATAAGCTGCTCGGGCACTTTAAATGTAGGACACATCAATTTAGAGAAATGCTGTTAAGAAATGATGAAATGCTTTGAATAGCTATAGTATGTTGCCCTGCTACCTACTTGTAGTTGTTTTTATCATTGAATTCTTTCTTAATCAGCAATTCTAACTATTACAAAATTTATTTATTTTTTTATAAAAATTTGGAAGTTTCTGAGTTACCCTTTGCATATATTTTGTCTCACAGCACTCGTGTATGAAAAGTAGGACAAAGACTAGAACAGATGCTATTTAACTAAAAGATTAAACACTATGAACAACTAAGTATAGTCTGTTGCTCCCATCTCTCCTTTTAGCTGTTTATTTTGTTTGATTTTTTTCTTATTAGCATCTGCTTCTAACACATGTTTATATAAAAAATACAAAAAAAAAAAAAAAAAAAAAAAAAAAAAAAAAAAAAAAAAAAAAAAAAAAAAATACTGTGCAAACTCTGTAGAGCCCCTTTGGAAGCTTTACATTATAGGCTTAATTCACTTTTGTTAGTAAAACTTAAAATTGTTAATTTAGAAAAAGGTTATTGCTTTTCCATCTTCCAATGGCCACTCTACAGAGCTTCCATTGTATAAAAAAAAAAAAAAAAAAAAAAAAAAAAAAAAAAAAAAAAACTTTGCTTGTTATTGCATGTGTATATTCTTATTTATTTGCATCCATTTTTATGATTTTGACATCCGCAATAGAGATTTTCGCTGTAACTCGTCCTCGGTAAACACATTTTGTTTAAGTAATTTCTGCATCCGCTATGGAACATATCCTCGGTAAACACATTTTGTTTAAGTAATTTCTGCGTCCGCTATGGAATTTTTCCTTCATATACACATTTTGCGTTTAGTAATTTCTGCATCCGCTATTGAACTCATCCTTGGTAACACATTTGTTTAAGTAATTTCTGCGTCTGCTATGGAACTTATCTTCGGTTAATACATTTTGCTTTTAGTAATTTCTGCATCCGCTATAGAACATATCCTCGGTAAACACTTTTTGTTTAAGTAATTTCTGCATCCTCGGTTAACACATTTTGTTTAAGTAATTTCTGCATCCGCTGTGGATCTTTTCCCTTCATAAACACATTTTCCATTAAGTAATTTCTGCATCCTCTATTGAACTCGTCCTCGATAACGCATTTGTTAAATTTATTTCTGCTTCGGTTATGGAATTTAATCCTCGGTAACACATTTGTTTAAGTACTTTCTGCATCTGCTATGGAACTTAATCCTCGGTAACACATTTGTTTTAGTAATTTCTGCGTTGGCTATGGAACTTATCCTCGGTTACACATTTGTAATAGTAATTTCTGCGTCTGCTATGGAACTTATCCTCGGTAACACATTTGCTTAAGTAATTTCTGCGTTCGCTATTGAACTCGTCTTCAGTAAACACATTTTGCAACTGCGATAGAATGTATCAGCCATAAATACATTTGGTTAAGTTATTTCATTTCTGCGTCTGCTAATTTAGAACATTTTAGTGTCTGCTATAGAATTATCCTTGGTTATCATATTCAATACAGTCATTTGAGTATCAGCCTTATAAATTTTCTTCAATAAATACATTTGTATTAGTTAAACTTCTGCATCCATTTTATAAAAACTTTCATAAGTAGAGACATTTATTATAGTTAATAGAAATTTTTTTAGTAAACGCAAATTTTCAGTAGGAAACATTTGTAATAATGATTTTGGTGTCTGTAATAACAGTTTTCTTTAGTAGACACTAATATGTTAAAGATATTTCAGCTTCCACTATAGATTATAAGTTTTCTAATAAAAATTACCAAGCACAAACACCAAAGGAAAACTAACAAAACTATTTCCTTTGCATATAACATACTAATTTGTTACTTCTGCTGTAAAACACATTTTGTTTAGGTAATTTCTGCATTGGCTCTGGAAATTATTCTCGGTAAACGCATTTTGTTTAACTAATTTCTGCATTCGCTCTGGAACTTATTCTCGCGAAACGCATTTTGTTTAGTAATTTCTGCATTCGCACTGCAACTTATTCTCGGTAAACGCATTTTGTTTAAGTAATTTCTGCATTCGCTCTGGAACTTATTGTCGATAAACGCATTTTGTTTAAGTAATTTCTTCATTCGGTCTGGAACTTCTTCTCGGTCAACACATTTTGTTTAAGTAATTTCTACATTCGCTCTGGAACTTATTCTCGGTAAACGCATTTTGTTTAAGTAATTTCTGCATTCGCTCTGGAACTTATTCTCGGTAAACGCATTTTGTTTAAGTAATTTCTGCATTGGCTACAGATTTTATTCTCGGTAAGCGCATTTCGTTTAAGTAATTTCTGCATTCGCTTTTCAACTTATTCTCGTTAAATGCATTTTGTTTAAGTAATTTCTGCATTCGCTACGGATTTTATTAGCGGTAAACACATTTTGTTTGAGTAATTTCTACATTCGCTCTGGAATTTATTCTCGGTAACACATTTGTT